CCAGCTAAGCCGTGCTCTGTGAGCCAGTCCTTTATTTTAGACTCCATGTGCTTACTGGGCATAATGGGGTGTTATAAGGCCTATAGTCTCCTGCTCACCATTGTGAACCCTCGTTTTGCACAAGGAGCTTTTATATTTTGCAAACCTGCCAGGTCAGCAGTGCTCTGTAACACTAGGATCAGCAGGCTAGTCTCCCGTTCCCGAGATCATCCATTAAGTCTTTTAATCTCTACTCTATTCAATCACAGGAACTTATCTGCATTTATTCATTTATTTTTGTCTGTTTATCCTAGAACATTGTGAGTGTTTTCCAGTATTTACAGTGGTTCCAACTCCTTCACTTCTGGGGAGCATTTGAGAGTAGTAACCTTTTCCACAGAATTTTTCTTGTTTTTAATGACCTAAGGAAGATGAATTCTACTGGTCCATCATTTCCTTTCCTCCATTGAATTTACCTTTTGCTCATAATTAATGGCTCATGTTTAATATTTAACTGTTTTTTCCTGTGCTATAGTCTTAAACTCTTTCTTATAGTTTTACGTTCCTTAGCAAGACCTCCTTGGCTCATTTATTCTCTGTCTGGTGCCCTGTTCCTCATCAGGCTCCTTACGTTCTTGGAAAGGTCTATTTTTTAAAATAATAACCTCTTTGCTTCTGACAAATAGTGATGATATAAATTTAACAAGAGCTAATTGGGTTAGTGAATTTTTCATTTGCATTTACACTGCAAAACGTGCTTAGCAGTACTCAGCAGCCTCTAGGAAACTGAACTAGCATCTGTTCCCTGCAGTAAGTTTCTACCAACGGGAAAGTCTCAGAGCCATTACAGAGGAGTTCAAGGAAAATCATATTTCTACAAAAAATTTATGTAGCATCAAACATGAGATATTTTATTGCGCTCGTGTTATGGAGGTATATAACTCTTGTGTTTTATACCTGCACACAGTAAAGGTGTTAGGAGTGTCTGGAAAGGCTACCTCGTTACATAGACTCTTAAATTGTCAGCCTACATTTTTAAAAGTCACATAAAAGGATGGATGTGTGATATGAGAACCTGCATTGATTTCACATCTTCTGAAGTGAAAACAGAAAAAAAAAAAAGAGACAGTATTTTAAAGAACCATCAAGCTCAATGTTTATAACAATACTAAAAAGTTTTAATAGAGGATAGTCTAAAAGAGATTAAAGTTTTTGTACTTGACATAATGTAAGACTAGGATACAAAGTTTATATTGTGGCAAACTATTTGAGAAAAAACTGGTACTTTCAAGCACCCAGGAGCAATTGATAAGGAAAACAGAAACTCAAATGACAGTAGCAGGAAAAACTGCACATCACAATTTTTTTTTGTTTTATGTTGTTTTGTTTTTCAGACAGAGTCTCCCTGTAGCCCCAGCTGGCCTGGGACTCGCTATGTAGACCAGGATGGTTTCAGTCTCACAGTCTGCCTGCCTCTGCCTCCTGAGTGCTGGGATTAAGGGCATGTGTCAACGTGCCCAGCCATATCACAAGTTTTGTTCTTTCTCTCCCTCCCTCTTCAGGATGAGGTCTCATATATGTCTTTGAACTCTCTTCTGATCCTCCTGCCTCTCCATCTGAAATGCTGGAATTATAGACATGTGCCACCAATTCAGGTTTACGCAGTGCTGGGGATGGAACTCAGGGCTTAGTGCATGCTAGGCAAGCACTTTCAAATGAACTACATCCTCAGCTCCCCAATTTTTGTCCTTGCTTTTAAATAATCTATTTCATTGTATGCCAGCAACAGCCTCAAGACTCTTCACCAGGAAATAAAGGTAAAGAGCCCCTAATGTGGTGGCATACACCTTTAATCCCAACACTCAGGAGGCACCCACCTGGTGGTATACACCTTTAATCCCAACACTCAGGAGGCACCCACCTGGTGGCATACACCTTTAATCCCAACACTCAGGAGGCACCCACCTGGTGGTATACACCTTTAATCCCAACACTCAGGAGGCACCCACCTGGTGGCTCTGGCATCTCTTCTGGTCTCCCTGGTATACTCACATACATACACACAGACAAAACACTCTATACATAAAATAAATAAATCATTATTTTTTTTAATTTGAGGATTAGAGAGAAGGCTCGGTGGTTAAGAGCACTTACTGCTCCTGCAGAGGACCAGAGTTCAATTCCTGGCACCTATAAGGCAGCTAAGCTAACAACTGCCTGTAACTCCATTCCTGAGGATCATATGCCCTCTTCTGGCCTCCAAGAACACTGTACACACATAGTGCACTTACACACATGCAGGTAAAACACACACATAAAATTAAAATAAAAATAATTTTTTTTTTTTAAGTAAAGATTTTCTTGAAACCACCAACTTGATTTTGTTGTAGGTGTTGTTACCAGATACAGAGAGTGGACTCCATTCCCAGCACCACTGGTTCACTTTCTGTCGAGCCCAGTTCTCCACTCTCTTTACTGTAGGCAACCATTGTAATGCATTTCCAATAATCATGCATTTAGTTAATACTATATGCATACTGGGTGTTGTATAAGAAACAAGAATGTATTTATGAATAAAACAGATTAAACCTCCTTTACTCCTAAGCCCGCATTTATCGTAGGAGTAGGTACTCAAAAAAAAAAGAAATCAAATATTATTGAAGGGTAATAAATCCTATGAAGGAAAAACAAAGCAGGAAAAAGAATGCTTAGGGTGAGAGTAACATTTTAAACAGGGCAAACAGGACAGACCTCACTCAGAATGGGAACTTAGACCAAAGATTTGAAGAACGTCAGTGAAAGAGGCTTGAGGGATCCCCAGGAAAGGAGACTGTGGGAACCGACCTTGGTGCTTGGTGAACTCTAGGCCTTCCCATCTGGCACACAGTGTGTCTTCCACACTTAGCAACTGAGTCCCCGAGGTGTGTGCTTCCTCGAGTCAGCAGCTCATGGGAACACACCCCTAAGAAGAGTAGGGTGGACAGTAGAGAACCCAGAGGAGTCAACCAAGTGTTTCTGAATTCTTCCCAGAATCGCCATATTCATCTACCATCAATAGCCCATGAAAGGCCACTGTGTACCTGCCATGGACTCTCTTCCTATTTTTTGTCAATATGATTGAAATAAAACAATGTTCATTGCTTTTTAAAGGAATTGCTCTCTGTTTCTTTACTATTTTTTATTCTTGTAAAAATACATTACATAAACTTTGCCATTTTTAGCGTTGCAATTCAGAAGCATCATCACATTAACAACACTGGGCAATCAGAATTTCTGTTGTCAAGATTTCCTCACTCAGGGCTAGGAAAATGGCTCTGTGATTAAGAACACTGGCTGCTCTTGCAGAGGACCTGGGTTCAGTTCCCAGCACCCACATGGCAGCTCACAACTGTCTGTGCCTCTAGTTCAGATGATCCAATGTCCTTTTCTGACCTCCTTGGGCGTGATATGGGTACACTTAACACACATACAGGCAAGACACTTAACACAAAAATAAAAATTTAAAAAGTAAAAAAGATCTGCTCACTCCAAACATAATTGCTTTTTAATTTACATTATCTTTGGACATTTCCCCAGATTTTTTTTTTAATCACATTTGTATGTCCTCATTCCCCTTAAGAAAATAGTTTAAACCAGCAAAAGAATTAATTCTAGGCACTAAAACAACACCATTGATTTGGAGTCAAGCAGCCTTGAATTTGAATCCAGGTTCCTGCTTCACTGGTTGAAATGACCTTGGGAAAGCTGTGTATTTTCTCTGAGCCCTAGTTCCCTTATCTATAAAATGGGAATAATATTCCTGACCCTTGAAGTGTTCCCTAAGTATTAAGTAACAAGTGCAAACCATAAGCACCACACCCAGAAAATCACCTGATTAACAGCAACTGCATTATTACCATTAGCTATGCTTCCCTGAACCTGCCCTGAGAGGACAGAACGGTGGGACCTAGGACCTTCTCTGTGGCACTGTTGTCCCTCCTACCAGTGAACCTGGGTCAGGATTTGGTGAGAGAAGAAATAAGATTGAAAAACAACTTCAATGCAAAACCAGAAAGGAAAAAAGAAAGGTTAACTAACATTGCAACAGCCATGTTAAGTAGGACCAATCTCCAGGCCAGCAGCTGGAGGAAGGAGGTGCCAGAATGGAATGAAGTTCTCTTCAGAGGCTGCTTGAGTGCATACTCCCCAGTAGGAGGGGGAATGGCTCTTTGCTACCTTCTGCCCAGCTAGAAAAAAAGATGCTGCGCCACACTGACAGGCTTCAGTCCCAGCACTGCCAGATGGACTCCTTTATTATTTATTTATTTATTTATCTATTTATTTATTTATTTATTTATTTATTTTGGGTCTGAGTTTTTAAATGCTGAGATACGTTTACACGTTTTGGGTTCCAACCTCTTCAGCTTCGTTGATGCCACTAATATATGTGAGCCACCATCAGTAGTTTTTTGGAAACATGAGTCAGGGTTCGCTTCCCACTGTTATTTCCTGTGTCCTGTTACCAGCAGCATACACCTAAGTCGTTTCATGGAGCCTGCCAAAATGCAGCAAGACGGAACAAAAAGCAAACAAAGAAGCAGCATCCACATGTAGGAAAAGTGCAGGTTTTCAACCCAAAAGACAGAGTCCAGTAGAATAAGCTTGGTGGTGGTCGAAATTTTCTGTCTTCACCTAGCTTAATCCAACTGTTCATTAGTGCTTGAAAAAGAAAGAAAAAAAAATGAATTGCCCCTGCTTGAATAGTTCTTAAAACATTTTTTAAAACTCCCTGTCTAACTCTTCTGTTTCTTAGAATATCAAATTGTAGAATTTGCTTTACTGAAAATGTATGCTGTGGGTTAGAAAAGAATATTTAGAAATCCGTTCCCAAAAAAAGCAAGGGGGAGTGGAAATTTGAAAGAGGACCGCCTAATTCAGCATTCAACCCAGTGTGAGAGGCCGTGTGTGTGTGTGTGTGTGTGTGTGTGTGTGTGTGTGTGTGACAAAGTGCTCTTTTCAAAAGGCTGAGAGGTGGATGGGAATGTTTGCTTAGTCCCTCTGAGAAGAGACAAGGTGCTTGGACCGCCTCTTGTTTGCTTCTTCAGAAAAATGTGGATAGGATTTGTGATGCAGAAAAGCTTAAAGAAAAAAGGATAATCATTCTGTGTGGTGGAAAGTTTGGGGGGAAAAACCATTGATTTCTTCAAACAAGGTACGTCTTAGAAATTACTCAAAGTACACAGACAGCTGCTTTCCATTCTTTATTATAAAAACAGTAAAATGTACTTGTTATTGAGAAAGCAGAATAAATGCTAAAACAAGTAACCAACCTATAAATCTCAGTTTAAAGAAAGTTGAGATGGGAATGGATGCTGATTGGTATCGTTTAAGTAACTACATGATATGTGTGTTATAAATTAATGCTCACATTGAACAAAGTTTTCACTGTTTCTTTAAGCAACTTTTTAAATGGTTAAAATAAGTTGAAAGGTATGACATTTGTGTGGAAATTTCAAGTAATTTCTATCTTACTTGTTTTTTTTTCCCAACCTTGCTTCCTATAAGGAATACAGTAAAAGTATCGTAACTTGTTTGATGTGTGGAAAGCCATATGAGAAATGGGCACACTGATGCTGAAAGAGAAATCATGTGGTGTGAATCTCTACTTGTCTCTATTGAGGCACATCTCAGTGGAATGTGGCTAGATGTGCGATTCTGTGACTTGTTTACAGTGGCTGTGTTTTCTTAGGCTGAATGTTTCTGTTACTGATAAGCCCAAGAACGGATTAGCATTGTTAGTCCTACCATTGTAGCTCAGCTTTGCACAGGAAGACAGGATACACAATCTCTTTTAAGTGCGATTTGTGTGGAACCAGTATAAACATGAAATAAATGCCTAAGGCACAGGTTAAACAGAAGATCGGATTGAATAATTAGACAGGATCCTTTGCTCCAAACAAGCCACAGCATCTTTACAATCTCCAAATCAAAGGTGGAATTCAAGATTTTCTTGGGGTTTATTATAAAAACAAAACCAGGCATTTTTGGTCATGGTGATTGTTCAAGAAAAAAAAAAAGTGTGTGGTAAGAAAATAGTATTTTGCCATTACGTTGTGTTGCAATAAATTTGGAAGTTCTGGTGGTAAAGTTCTGAGGCTGTTTTGCCCTTGGTCTCGTGAAGGATGAAATGCCCGCAGCGAGGCAGGATCAAATGCTGTGTCTGTGTTTTCTCTCTGTGTATTAGTGGCAAGTGGTAGCTACCAGTAGCAAGCCGGAAGAGTTTGTCTTTTATTTATTGAATTAAAATTTCCTCTTTTATAATATTTTTTAAAAAGATGCCAAAGAAGGAATTATAAGACTAGAAGGAGTCATTTTTTATTGCAATCTGCTAGTTTCCCAGACTAAACTTCATTTAAATATGCTTTAGAGCTCACTGCTGAAAGGCTAAAAGGGAAAAGCCTCAGGAGCACTGGAAACACTTGATATCTACACTGAAATCATGCTGATGGAGAGCATTTAGAAGATCTAATTATCTTTTCCAGCAAGTTGCCAATCACATAAAGAGGTTCTTTCAGGGAAATGACAGCAGGTTTGAGAACGGTTTCCGAACAGCATCAGGAGGACAAGCAAGCTTGTGGTGTTCTCCACTGTGGTTCCTGTAACATGCATGGAAAACGGGGGAGCTCTGTGGTCTGATGCAGGGTGCCAACCCCCAAGTCTTCAATTACAGAAACAGCCCTGCTTCTCCCTTGCTGTGCCACCTTGGGAAAGGCATGGAAGATTTCTTGATTTTTGTTCCCCCTTCAAAAACTAGAAATAGCAATGCCTGCATCTCTTCCCTCCCAGGGCAGACATGAAACGATATTGATTGGCAGCCCCAGCAGGGTTTTAAAAGGTAAACATTTTTCTGTTTTTCTATACAGTCAAAGAAAACTAGTGGGAAATGTCATTGGTCTTATAATAAATGTTTCCTATTCTCTGGGATGTTCCTGTTAGCCTGTATCCACATATGCAGTGTCTCTCTCCCCATGAGCTCCCCTTGGGGGAGCCGGGTATGAGCAGCAGTGGATGCAGGGCAGAACACCCGTCTGCTTTGTCAGTAGACGGTCACTGAGTGACCTTGGGGAGCTAATAGCTCTGTGTCTCCATTTCCTCACATGTCATGAAGTTAGTCAAGATGATCTCTAAGATTCCTTCACAAACCTATGGCTCTGTGCAATGAGATATCTTCAAGGTCGAGACTAACTCAAGCCAGTTTCATTGTTGAGACTCTCAATATATTAAAACTTCAAGGAAGGGTCAAAATAGGGTCGCAGAAGCTATATTTCAAATACTTGTGTTTAAATACTGTAACATATGAAAATGAAATTCAACATAACTGTTCTTTACAAGATAAAAGAAGTACGTGTGTATGTGTGTTTGTGTGTGTGTGTGTGTTTCTGTGTGTGTGTGTATGTGTGTGTTTCTGTGCATGTGTGTGTGTGTGTGTGTGTGTGCGCGTGCGCGCGTGTGTGTACCTGGAAGAGGACGGACCAAATTGTATGACGAATTTCTCTCAGTATTCTAGTGTATTTCTGTGATTGTATGCATAGTACCATGTGAAGACAATGTTCAGTGTCTAAGTCTAAAGAAATCATGTCAGATCAAGGCCAATTGGCCCTCTAATGCTGTGGGTGTCCTTTGGGGATTGCTTAGGCAATAGGCTTGGTCACTTCTTCAACATGCTAACTTTGGCAAGTTCCTTAAAACCCATGAGCCCCAGTGTTCTCTGTGAAAGGCGCCTGTAATTATTGCCTATGTCACACAGCTGTGGCAAGAGGCCTTCAGTCAATGCCTAGAATCCTGTCAGCACTTAAATGTCAGCAAGTATTTTCTTTATTATTGGTGACTGAAACAAAGAAACCAGATCTGTGGTAGAAGCATTTGTTTGTAATTGTCTTCAGACTTTTAAACACTAGCTCTTTGGATGAGATAAACAAATGATTTGTGGATTTTTGTGCTGTTTATGTAACTTTTAGAAACGAATTGCCCCCACTTGATCCAGTCAGTCTGAGCAGATGTCACTCAGCTAATGATAAGCCAAAGAGGCAGCTTCTGTGGTGGTTGTTGCTTGAGAAAGGCCAAAAAGCTCCCTCTCCGTACTTAAAAATGTATCCCCCTACAGTGGCCAGAAGACCCAGAAATTTCTGGACCTGTGAACACAGGGGGCCCAAGAGAAAGAGAAACTGTACAGGGAAAATGCTACGAGTGTGGGCAGTTCTTGGACAATGGCAGTGCATAGCTTCTGTTGTTATAGGAAACGCATCAAGGGAAGAGCAAGCGATCAGGTAGTTATGATCGGTGTCAGAAGTCACTTTTTAGTAGCACCAATTGTTAAATTTTTCATTCAACACACACAGACACACACGTACACACGTACACACACACACACACACACACACACACACACGCACACGAGTAGGCCTACAATCACCTAGGTGAGATCCCATTTGCAGACGAAGAGAAGAACTGAGAAGCAAGAAAAGCCTCGAGGCAGCATGTCCACAGTCACATGTTCACAATGGAGCAAAGACTATTTCTGTTTTGTTTATTGCATTTTCCATGGTTACCTCATCCATAAAACAAACAGTTGTGGATACTGGCTGTAGAATTTGTTTTTAATCAGCTAAAAACTCTGCTTCAATGGACTGCAAGCCTTCCTGAGGTCCTCTGGGACAAGCTGAAATGCTGGGGCTACCTGGGAATTATCCAAAGCAGGCGCCACACGACACTCAATGGAGCCACCTATAAAAACTGTAAGTTACTGGGCAACCCACAAATGGCCAGTCTGCACACAGCAGATGTGACTAGGCAGAAATCCATTGCTGCATTCCAGGGCAGATACTCTGAGGGACAAAGGTGAGCTGAGATAGCAGATGCCCAGATCCCGTCCTGAGTCAAATCTGCAGCCAGACTCTTGCAACACACAAAACACTGGTGTGTTTCTTATTCAATTTAGGGAAATTTTTATGGTTATATTTTATTCTTATTTTACAGTTAAAAATTTTAAGTTTATATTTAGCTCATTTTTTTTTCACTAATTAAAAAAAAAAACTTCTTAAGAATGAAGATAGAAGCTATTCCTTGGCCATTTGATTGACCAAACAGTACAACCATCCAGAAGATTTTCAAGAGAATGGGGCTGAAGAGACTTGAAAATTTCAGAACAGAGGAGAGGGTAAAAAAATTCAGAACTGCATGTTTGGAGAGATGGCTCAGCAATTAAGAGCACTGACTGCTCTTGCAGAGGGCCAAGGTTCAGTTCCCAACATCCACATGGTGTCTAACAACCATCCATAACTCCAGTTTCAGGGACTCCAATGCCCTCAACTGGCTTCTGAGGGCATTGCATGCACATAATGTACAACATACATACAGGTAAACCATTTATACACAAATAAATAATAAATTAATTAATTAATGTAAGTAAATATAAATAAATAAATAATAGCAATTTTGTTATTTAT